GTGATACAGTTTCTTTCCACCACTAGTCGCTGTGTGCTACGGTTTCCTTTATTACTAACAAACAATTTTTCACTTCATTACTCCTAGATTTTGTTTATTGTAAGGCTGTGAATGTTTTCTGCTGTTTCTTACTGTTATAGTTGTTTACTCACATGGGTTTATAACGTGAACAAAGGATGGGTTACCATTCCACTTACAAGTACTCATAACGACGGGTTCTATTTGTTAACTACTCTACTCTCTTTGTTATACATTAACAACATTTGCCAACTAGTGATCATCCTGTACAAGAAAAAAGGGTAGATGAAGTCAAGCACTGAATGTCTGAGAGCTTGGACCTTTCACAGAGCTTGGGCCTTTGTCAAGTCTCCCCGCGAGGGTGACACCCCTGCTGCAACTGCTGCTCGAGCTATGTCCGATAAACTGAGGATGGTTAAGGGGGTGTGCGCATGGATACCTAATTTTCTCGCAGAAGCACGAACGCAGTACCGATTCTATGCATCTAGCAGTAATGTTCTCAGTGTCATGAGTCTCAGTGAGATGTCATTTACGACTGTGAAAATGCACCCCGGCCCTCGATGAAATATGGGTGGTCTTGAACTCCTAGCGGAAACTCACAAGGGTCAATTTTGTATGAATGCAGATGAGAAGCCGCTCGAGTTCTACCATGAGGAGTTACGTGGGCGCAAGTGGATGGTCATCATGGCGAAGGATTTGATGTTTTGTTTTGGATTTGGTTGTTTTGTCATTGCCGAAATTGGCATCAACAGCAATTAACTCACATTTGTTGAAAATGAAGGGACCATAGGTCCAAAGGCTTTCGGAGCAGTGGGAGCGGGTCATCGTTAAAGGAGGGACCTATTTAACCTGAAGCTAGAATACTACTTTTCTATCTATTCTCCTCTTTGTTTCATTCAAATAAAACCGTCGGCGCTTTTGAATGAGACGACCTAATATTATCATTATTATTTATTGACAAGTAACATTGCGAACGAAAAAAAACTGTTGCCGACGTTCATTAAAAAATTGAAAAAAGGAAAGTCTACGAGTTTGTTAGTAACAAAAGCTTCAGTGGACTCATAAAGGTGGAAAGCAGCACCATGGAAATCTAGGAGCTAATGAAGTGAAAAATTTTTTGTTAGTAACAAAAGAAACCATAGCACACAGGGACTAGTGGTGGAAAGAAGCTGTATCACAACATCGCATAGCAGCATGCAGTTCACACCAGGAGTCTTTATCGTAGGAATTGAAATCGAACGTGCACGTTCTGCAAAAATACTGGAGAGTTTGTTAAGAAACGAAACTGAAACACAGAGAAGCAACGGAACGGAACACGAGAAAAGCGGAGTTACTACCTTGGCAACAGTGACAACTGAAGACAGCGGCAGGCGAAATCACGGATAACAGACACACTTCCTTCCGGACACAAATTGCAGAAGTCTGCACAGAATAGCGAAATAGTTACTAATAAAAGTTTAATATGTGTTCATAGATAATAATTTTCATGTCTACCTATAATTTTTACCATGAAAACATTCAGGAAAACGTGACGACTGCAGAACACAGCGTGAATAGTCGTAGGTAAAAGAGACGTCAATCTTTAAAACCGTGCCGAAGTGTGTTCTCCTCATGGAAAGGAACACAGCAATGGCACACTAATGAAGAATGAACCATTTGGAAAAAGAACAAATAAAAAATAAGAAAAAAAAACTCACCGACCAGGGGAAATAGAGGATACTAGATTTATCTTAAAAAAAGCTTGTTCAACTGTACCTCAAGCTTCAGAACAGCGCCAACGTGTTCTCCTCATTATAAGGAACACAACAATGGCTCAGGAATGAAGTATGAGCCATACAAAAAAGAACAAACAAAGAATGAGCGAAAAAAATGACCGCCCTAAATAACGGGTATTAGCACAATTCTTGAAAAAAAAGAACACAAGCTCCAAAACCATGTCAAAGTGTGTTCTTGCGTGAAACAGAACACAACTTGGCATAATAATGGACAATGCGTCATACAAAAAAGAATAAACAAAAATAAACTTAAATACTCACCAACCGGCACAATTTACGAGCAGCTTGGGGAACACGGGTGTAAAAACGGCTCTAGTGAAAACCGTGTGAGAGTGTTCTCTGCAAAGACTGGAACCATCAGTGACACAGTAATGAAAAAGAAGCCAGGCAGAAGGGGAAGAAATGAAAAAGAAGCCCACAAAACCTGAAAATGCGAAAACAATAGCAAAGCAATTAGAACCATTAAAATCTCATCAATACAACCACAACAGAGAGATAATTCTAATCTATCAAACAAAGAAAAAAGCAAATCACCTCTATAAAAAGCGGCCGCAAAAGGAGGATTTTGAGGAGAACATGGCTTCATCAAGCCGAAAAACAGCTGATTGCCGCGCCAGCTGTCAATGGGCGGGCGGCAGAGTACTATGCGGCGCCTGTTGAGCGCGCACGGACCCGAAGGACGCAGGGTAGCTGTCCCGCGCCACCGATGGTTTGCTACTCGTGACGCGGTCGCTGGTGCACTCGCGTCTGCGTCCTTCGACCGCCCTAATCAGGTGCAAGGATGATGACTGTAGACACTGAAAAGTTGGTTCCAGCAGGGGATACAGAGGAATGACTAGGATCTTACTGATGGATGACAGAAAGGAATAACAGCTGATAGGGGCTGATAGGTTTGCCGCCGTCGTTCTTCTTCAGGTCGTACAGCTTTCATACTGTCAAAGGCAGTTAGCATGATAAATCCCTAAGAGGAGTAGGACTGATACTTCCTGGCAAGAAGGAATTCCGCGACCGTGGCAGGTGCTGCGTAGCGAATTCCAGGGGAGCTACCCTTGTAAGACTCTATCAAGCTACAACATACCGAACCAAACGCCCACCACGCCCGTCCGCTCGCAAGTGGACGACCGTGCCTGATGCTCGTATTACTTTATTTGCTAAGTATAACTCAAACATGAAGTGAAGGGGGTATGAAGCGGCTGCAATGCTGCATGGATATATGAGTGCATACGTGCAGCGGTACCCACCGTAGCGGTTACTGGCAACATATCTAAGGAAAACTCGTCCGAAATAGCTTTTGAGTCATTAAGTACGAAGGCTTCTCTTCTTGTCAGGTTTTGACCGTTTCACTTCGTTCTTTCGCCATTTTCCCACTATATGGCGCCCTGCTAGCATTTTAGGCCAGTTTGCAAAATATCGTCAACTGCCCTCAAACCGTAAAGGTATATCACAAGAATGCTGAGTTATGGGCAAAAGTCGTGCCCCAGGCGGGAGTCGAACCCTCGCCTCACGCTTTCCGGGCATTATCATAAAGGTATATGTAGTAATATAAACATTGATGGTGTGTAACAGGCACTCATGCCAAATGATAAGGATGGGTAGGAGTGTTTTCCCCGTTCTCACTACTAGCTATTTATTAGCTGATGTAATTTTTTTCAAGCTGTCTGACGAAGTCGTTATAAACTTTTTATCGGCTGTCGTTCCCGCGGATTGGCTTTCTTCGGAGCATGAAAAGGTCAAGCCAAATCATGATATCTGCACTACCATCAAGTGCACCCCTCGCCCTTTCGAGCCAACTGAGTTCAGCAGAAAATACGAACGAAGACCTAACACACCTCAACCGGATCCACCGTATCAAATGACGAGTCACGGTGATGGAAGTTTTCAAACTCAGCCTCCAGAGACCGGTAAAATGAACCCTGCATAAGGAGATAGCTCTCGTGTAATTTGTAAGCGTTTTCCCCTTCGGTTCGTTCTTGGATTCCTACCTGAATCCAGAATGCTTCGAGATTTTTCTCGAACGAGAAAGCTGGTCATCGCGCTCTAAAACCTCCACCGTGACTGCAAAATTGTCTTGTACCCTCTGACATCCTGTCAACACAGGAATAACTATTTTGGCTAATAATCAGGTTGCAGGCTCAATATGTGGTGAAGTTATTCCCCTTTTCTGCATGTCGAGTGAGTGAAGGGGGGGGGGGGTAAATGATTTCTCTAAAACGGAGAAAATCAGCAATAAGAAAACATGGGAAGTAAACGCTTCATGCTGTTTCGAGTAAAGTGAAACTTTAGGAGAGGTAGGCCGCAATAAGAAGAGGGTTGAGATCAAAGGTGAGCGTTACAATGTAACAGAATGCTACTCTTATGATTATGATTTATAACTGCTAAATATCCATTCAGCTGCAACAAAAACATTCTTAATGATGCATCAATGATGAATGATGCATCAATCACATGAAACTGTAATATTCACAAATTACACAAATTTACAAGAAATCTCAGGTGGTATTCTCGGGGAGATATAAGATAGCAAAAAAAAAGATTCTAGGAATGACATCGTTTTGATTGAAGTTGAATAGTCCCGTGTAAAATGAGAAGTTTGAATAGCACCGATTCAAAATTGAAAAATATCAGTAATTCATTCGTGATCTTGTTAGAATGATTCTGAAAATGTGAATTGACAAAGAAAGTCAAGTCAAAGAAAGTCACAATACAGTGTCAGTAAACATCACTCGGTCGGCAATCATATTTCTGTTCCCCCTCCATATCATTTTCGGTTGTCGTACTCATGTCTACATCGTTTTCTTGCCCTGTGGACCTCTCCATCGGATTGATGGTGCGCTTCTTCCTTCTGGGCTCCACATTGGCCTCGTCCTGCACCACACGAGTTTTCAATGTATCCAGATTTATGCGGAAATCGCGCATTCCTATCGCATTTTTCTGAAAGAAGAAATGAGACAGATCAGTGACTTTTTCTCACAAAAATGTTTAATAAACGGCTGCTTTTCAATGTTTTT